CTGATTATAGATTTGGTAAGTGTCTGGTTAATCTGGTTCGGTAAAGATTTCAGAAAATTTTCAGTCACCTCCTGTAATTCTGGCTAAGTTGTTTTCTAAAGTAAGGAATATAAATTTAAGTGAGAATTGGAATTTGCTAGAAATTCTTTCCTGAATTCACACTGGAGGTACTTTTATAATGATCTGTCTAAGCCAAGATTTTTTTCAAGACAGTGAAGAGTTTTAGTTATCTACTGAGTATATTTTCAAGTTTAATTTGTAGGAGTTAAGATATTTAAACTAAATTATAATTAGCTTCTCTAGACATAATCCTGCGGATACTTTGTAGCACGAAAAAAAGCCATTTCTATAACTAGGGATGAAGACATGAAGTGTTCAAATGTCCTATCAATGCCATGCATTGTCATGCAAAGTATTATATTCAGGTTTAATAAGAAACTAAACCAAATTGAATTTTCCAGGCACTTTTTTTTCCCTCTGAGACAGTGTTTCTCTGTGTCTTTGGAGGCTGTACTGGAACTAGGGCTTGTAGACCAGGCTGGTCCTGAACTCACAGAAATCTGCCTGCCTCCAGAGTGCTGGGATTAAAGGCATGTGCCACTGCTGCCCGGCTCCAAGTACTCTTAATAGGTAAAATGAATTTAAAGTTTATGCATCCTTCCACCCTAATTTTAACATTGAAATCCTAGTCTACAAGGTGATGGTGTTAGGAGGTAATTATGTCATGAGGGTTGAACCCTCAACTGTGGAGACTACTTGGATAAAGTTCCCATTAAGGAGGGACCCATGGAGAGATGAAATTGTCATAGAGTGGGGAAAGATATATCATTACATTGTATATTACTTTCTGATGAAGTCTAGATCCCATCATGCATAATTTATCTTAATTATGGAATATTTATTGAGATTGATGCTCTAGACTGAGTTCTGAGAATCCTGCCTCTGATATATGTTGCCCAGGATATTCTCAAATTTGAGACTCTCCTGCCCCAGCCTCTTGGCTGGTGTTTACAGGCATTGACCAATATGTCTGGCCTTGTCTTTTCATAAGAACAGTGCTTTTATTCTAATATGAAACTTGAAAAACAAACACTATTATAACAAAAGAGCATAGTAAATTCTATGCATCCTCCTGTTCATCAGCTTTGGGAGAATAAAGCAGCAGAGTGGTCAAACTTCAATAAACCTTGGTCACAGATTTATTGAAAAACTAGATGACCATTATGTTTTTCAGTGTGTCATGTAACCTGCCATTTTAATTTCCATTGAAAAAAGAAATTTTGACTATATATATTTTAAAAATGCAATTGATCATGTGAGTTGACTGTATACTCGTGGGGTTCACCATGGATTTCTCCATGTGCATATAGCATAGACTGATCAAATTTCATTTTCTCCTTTTCAATCACCCATTCATCCTAATCTCTGGTGATCATTCTTATATCAACATTTAAAAAGCTTCTACATATAAGAGAGACCATGGTATGCTTTACTTTCTGTGTCTTGCTTATTTTCCCTGATGTCACCAATTCCATTTTACTGCAAATGACAGGATCTCATTCTTCTTTATGGTCAGGTTTTTAGTTTTTGAGGAACATCTATATTGTTCTGCATAATGGTTGGGATAATCTGTATTACCATCACCAGTATATGAGTTTCTTTCTGCATATCTTTGCCGGATTTTTAAATTATTTTATAATACCTGTTTTCACTGTGGTTAGGATTTACAGTTCCCTGATGGCTAATAAAGCTTTTTGGTGTTTCAATATGTTAAGTAGCTAGATTATTTTCCCATTTTCAAGTAAGATGATTTGCTTAGGTCTTTTTTAGTTTCCAAGTATTCTAGCTGTTACCACTTTGTCAGAGAAGGAATGGCAAATATTTCTTCTAGTTCTGTAGGCTGCCTATTCATTCTGTTGCTTCTCATGCTGTGGAGACATTTTTGAGTTTGATTTCATCCCAAATAGTCAACTTTTTCTTTTGTTTCCTGCCATTACAGACCCTCTGCTGAAACCCACAACCCCTAAGGGGGCCTTGAAAGGCTTCCTCCTTTTCAAATTCTAGTGGCTTCAGATCTCATTAAGCCTTTGATCCCAACACCCCATTTCAATGATTCTCTTCTTACATATTATCTTGTATGATTTCCCCTTCCTCTATGACTCCAAGTTTCTCCTAACTCCCTTTGCATCTGGTTTCATCCTGAGCAGAGAGTGAGAGATAAGGACACAATTTGAATCCTTTGTTTGGGGATATGCACTCTTAGCCCCATTTCTCCAGTGAGCATTTTGGGGGCCTCTGGTAAGCAATGGCAACCCTGTTCAGGTTCATTGTGCTACTTGTTTCTATTTGCCAGTGCCATGGTGTCTAGGACATGGCTGCTCCACAGTAGATCTTGAAATCAGATTTTGTGATGTTTCTAGCTTTTATCCACTCAAGATTCTTTTGACTATCTGGGGTTCTGTGGTTCCATATAGACATTAAGGTCATTATTTCTAGTTCTGTGAAGAATGCCATTTGTATAGGGCTTACATTGAGTGGAAGGTATGTTTAAAGAATACTAATTCCTCCAATCCACAAACGTGAGAAGCTTTTACATTTTTAATGTCTTCTTAAATATATTTCAGCAGTGTCTTAAAATTATTGTCCTATAATTATTATTGAGTTCTTTCACTCCCTTGATTGTTCCTCAGCATTAGTTTGGCAGATATCCATTGCACTGTCCAGAGTCTAGACAGTAAGTGCTGGTCGGGTTCTTTCTGTGTTGCGATACTAATGCTCTAATGGACATCTAGTGCATTTAGGTCACAGTCAATCTGGGATGTTGCAGACCCCCAGCATCGACTTTATAACCCTTAAAGCAATTGTAACTTCAAAGAGAGCTATAGCACCTTTGATATGTGCTGGGAAGTTCTACTCACATACCTTGGATTTCACACTTCTTTTCATTTTACTTTTCTTCCAGCTCTCCTAGTTCTCTGTGAGCTGCGGATTGTTTTTATTAGATCTCTAGGATCACGAAGGATGAATGCATACAATTTATGGGTTATATGAGCCCTTTCTCTACCCTCTAGGCTGGCATCTCTCAGCCCTACTATCATGTGTACATTCCTATTTGCATATGATAGAGAAGTGATAAGAAGAAGAAAATGAACCAGGACTGAGTGTTCCAACTCACAAGGGAGAAATAAACAGCAGTCTTGCTTCCTGCCATCCTATGGCATTCACAAGGTCAACAAACATGGAATAGGATAGGCCAGCATTCTCTGCCTGTGTTTAGGCCAATGAGGTTATTATCTTGTTACAGAGTCATGAAAACAAATACACAGCTATCACTTATTCATAGTTGATATGAATGAGAAGTTCTAGAACCGCAACGCTAGTTGAATAATAATGTTTGTGATAGAGATACTGAAGCCATGAAACTTCCAAGCCATCCTAACACTTGAAATAACTAATTTATAACTTAATGTTTGTTATACTTTAAAAATCAGCATTTACTTCAAATCCAACTTGGAGTTTGAGGAAAGTTTGGTCTGTGAAAAGCTAGTCTCAGATACTCTGCAACATTCATATATACCTACTTTCCCAGTCAGCTCTACTTACTTCACAGTTTGGGGATTGCAGGCTGCAACATACAAAGGTATGTAATGTGAAGCATCCAGGAAAGTTTAGCCAAGAAACCCCTATCCTGGTATCTCTCTCCTCCATCCCATGTTTCTCTGCTAAATTTGCATTTCTATATATTATTTGGTAGTGTTGGTCTTGCGCAACTTTGGTATCCCTTCAAGAATCTGTACTTAGGTTTCATGACATTAGAAAATGTCTATATGGTGTGAGAATGATAAGATTCTACTGCACAGTCTAATAATAAAATAATCAGTTTTGAACCAGTTGGTTCTTAGGCGTTAGTATCTTATTTTTGGCTCCAACAGATCTCTTGATTAAAAAAAACTATTTGCATAAATGTTTTACTCTCTGTCAGACTTTGATTAAAGAGTGAATTGATTTAATGTACTGAATAATGATAAAAATCTTACAGAGTTATTGGAGAAATAAACTATAGTCACCTGATCATTAGTTTATCAATTCTGATTGATGCACTTTTGAGAAGTTATATAGAGGGCAATGTCGTTAGGAACATGGCAAAAACTGTTTATGTTTTATAAGAAGGTTCCTTGGGGCGGGGGGGGGGCGGGGGCAGGACAGAAATAAAATCATGACCTAGAATAAAAAGGGGGGATGCTCTAGATTTCTACTTCTGGTTAGTTTGTGGCCCTGAACATATGAAAAAGAAACAGAAAAATCTTTTGTAGTTTGTCTAGGGCATTTTAAGGCAAGATGGAAATATATCATAGCCAAGCATTTAGCAAAAGGAGGGGCTAACAAGGGAAGTCATGACTTTTTGTTTGTTTGTTTTTAGAGACAGGGTTTCTCTGTGGCTTTGAAGGCTTTCCTGGAACTAGCTCTTGTAGACCACGCTGGTCTCGAACTCACAGAGATCCGCCTGCCTCTGCTTCCCTGGTGCTGGAATTAAAGGCCTGCACCACCACCACTGGTGGGGAAGTCATGGCTTTGAAAGGAAGGCATTTCCTATGGCTTTTCTCAGTTGGGAAATGAGTATGCTAATGCTACAAAAGCCAGTACCTTGCAGTGGGAGAGTCCTGCTCTGATGGAGCACTGCTCTTGTGGACTACCACTCTGATGGACCAGCCAGTTCATGTTGCCTGATGTTAATATGGCATAAATGCAGGTTGATATTGCCATGCCAAGAACATGTGGTTTGAGCAGAGGCAGAGCAAGTTGGTAGGTCTTATATTTGACTTTTCTTGGTTGGGAGAATTGCCAAGGAGTTTATCTAGATAGTTTGGAAACCAAGTAATCATTTAGTAAGTCTTTCATAATACAAGCTTGACTTTGAGAGGTGGACTCAAAAGTTTTATCCTATATGTATTATAGATGCTAGAAGTCAAATAATAGAGCATTCATTCCTCAGGACTTACATCTCTTCCAATCAGGTCCTCCTGGTTTTCCACAATTCCCCAGGGGGCGATACCTATGGTACATATCTTCCCTCGAGATTTAGATGCATGGTCCTTCAAGGCATCTCCAACATGACGAATGACGCCTAGGAGCAGAGAGAGAGAGGTATTAACCTTGTCTTTGAAGGGCAGTGACTTTCCTGTCATTCTGCAGGAAATTAATGAGTGTTTTTAACTTGGGGAGAGTGTTGAACATATAATTTTGACACATTTCTATAAAAACTACATTTAAAGAGACTTCATAAGAGTGGCTATAATGCAGATATATTTGTCAGATTCAATTAAAATTCAAGCAATTATTTCTTTTAATTCATATGGAAAAACAATATCTAGTGTCTATAAAGAATAAATATCATTAGAGGACCCTTTTCCTGTAAGCATAGTGATTTATAAGTATCCTTGCATCCTTTGAATAAAAAGAACAAAAGTTAATTTATTCCATAGTCTGTGAAAGAATTAGGATCATTTCTGTAGTCATTTGCTTAAGATTTTATTAACCTCAATTTCTGCCTCCTATTTATATCACATAATGTGGAAAGCCTAGTAATAATGCTGTCTTACTCAATGGTAAATTTATGTTAAAATGTGTAAGTACACCTTTAATATTCATCGTTCTATTTGTTTCCTCCTTAATGATTGCCTCACAGTTAAAAGCAAAGAAATTCAGATTGCAGCAGTAAGGAACCTGATCTCACTTTAAGAAAGCACTTAAAGGATATGCAATTTCTAATCGTTTAGCTTCCTTCTATAGCAATCGTTTCTAAACATGAATTGTAAGATACATTTTCTAAGAATTTAGACTTATCAACATTCTCCCCATTCCCCAAGAAGTATTCATCCTCAGTGCCATCCCTTCTATTAATATAATTTGATATAATTTCTTATACATATAATAGTTTGTGAGTCCCCAACAGCTCCATGTTTCACTGCTGCATTGTCCAATGTTGCATAATAGCATGTAAGACGTGCTTGCTCTCTGACAGGAGGATGGAATGGCCAGTGTATTACTCAGCTTGTGGGCCTTGAGGGGCAGTCTGACTCCAGAAACCATGCATTGAACAGGGAGACAGAACACACCAAGAAGTTTCACCATGGAGATATCATACATGTTTCAATAACTCATCTGTGAAGTAGACATGAGATCAGACAAGAGTTTCTTTTTAGTAATCAAATAAAACTATACTTGAGTACTAACCAACAGTGTGCTGTGTTGTGAGCCTGGGGAGATGCTCTTCTTACCTGTTAGCCTGCCAATGTATCATCTAAGTAAAAATATTGCTGAATAAAAGATTCAGACAAGAAAATAAATCCATAAATATTAATGTTAATATGCAAAACACATCAGGGTTGGGTTGGACAAAAAATCCAACATTATGGTTTGCCTCTCTGTCTGCCATGGTTTTCTCTACCTGCTACCAGCTTCAACAGTCAGCATCAAAGTCCCATACTCTAAAACTGAGAATAACTGTTTATACAACCCCCACCCCAATTTTGAACGCATTTCATAAAAGAAAAACAACTAGCAAACCAACTTTCTAAATATAGAAAATTGGTTAAAATTTCTTTCGAGCCTTCATTGAGTAGGTCTCTCTATACCAGGAAGGCAAAAGCCTAAGCAATTACAAGCAAGTGCTTTCTACATAGTGAAGAGAAAAATGTGGAGCCTAAAATCTGGAGTCACTAAAATTGCTCTTTTTATAGGATCCACAATAAGAGCTGACTGAGCAGGTCAGCCGAAGATGTTGGCAGCTGATGGGCTGGGTTGGGATTTAACAACACAATACAGGGCGTGGACCATCTGCACAGTTCTCTGCCAAAACATGCCTGTTTAGCTATGTGCTGACTTCTCACGAATTCTAGCTATGCAGGAGATTTCACAGCTTTGATGTCACTTAAATATCTCCAAGCTAAAACTCAATTATTGTTTAATAAGAACGTGTTAATTGGTTTAGAGTCATGAACTCTGGATGTCTCACTAATATCAAATGTGCCACGTGTATAGGCTTTGAGCCTTATGACACATTTGCATTAGCTTATTACAAAGTTACTAGGATACTTTTGCTATTGCTTTTGGGGGGGTCTCTCCCTGGCCCCTTCTCAAGCCCTGGCTATTCTGAATCTCATTATTTTAGATCAGGCTGGCCTCAGAGATCCAGCTGCCTGTGGATGCTGAGTTCTGGCATTAAGGGCATGTACCACCATGCCTGGCATTGGTATGCTTTTAGGAGGAATTTCTGATTCAGGGTATCTGGTAACAAAGTTTGCTCCATTATTTGTTGCATACTAACCACGTTCTGAAGATAGAAACCTAACTGTAAGTTAGAATTGATTTGATGACATGCGTGTATCATAATATGAAAATTTATATGGCAGACAGGGAAAGGTATTGGGAATCTTTTGTGCTTTGGAATTAATCATCTATGTAGAATGTTTTAAGAAACATTTAACATTATAAATGAAGAGATGTGCAGTGGTTAGGAGCATCTCCTGCTCTTGCAGAGGATCAGAGTTTGGTTTCTAAGTATCCATGTTGGGTAGTTCACAGATGCCTATAAAACCAGATCCAAGAAGGATGCAATGCTTCTGGCTTCTAAGGGCACTATGCTAATGTGTATTCTCGCACACACATGCATATAACTCAAAAGAAAATATTTTAAATAATCATGTGTTATCTATACTTAACCTTATAGTCATGCCACAGGTGAAATGACATTGAAAAATTAGTCTGGGAAGGTGCCCATTGGATAAGATTCTGAGTTTGAATCATCAGAGCCCATGTGAAAGCCAGGTATGGTAGCAGTATGAGCATCTGTAGCATGCCTATAGAGAGATGGATGGCAGAGAATGGAGAGTCACCGAAGGATCACAGGTCAGCTAGCCTGATGTATACAGTCTGGGAAGGTGCCCATTGGATAAGATTCTGAGTTTGAATCATCAGAGCCCATGTGAAAGCCAGGTATGGTAGCGGCTGGGAAGGTGCCCATTGGATAAGGTACCTGTCATACAAATATAAGGATGATTCTGAGTTTGAATCATCAGAGCCCATGTGAAAGCCAGGTATGGTAGCAGTATGAGCATCTGTAGCATGCCTATAGAGAGATGGATGGCAGAGAATGGAGAGTCACCGAAGGATCACAGGTCAGCTAGCCTGATGTATACAGGAGTGGACAACAGAGAAACTCTGCCTCAACAAGAGTGAACAAACACCAGAGAAACCCTGTCTTAACAAGGACTGACACCTGAAGTTGTCTGACTACATGCAGTAGTCATGCCATGTAGTAGCTATGGCATATACAATCTCTCTCTCTCTCTCTGTCTCTCTCTCTGTCTCTCTGTCTCTCTGTCTCTCTCTCTCTCTCTCTCTCTCTCCACACACACACACACACTTAAAAAAGTTAGTTGGTACCAAGCTTGAAATTACTTAAACAATACAGGCAGACATTCCAATTTAAAATAAAAACTTATTTGTTAAAGAGTTAGTTGATACCTATGATAATTTGACCTACTAAAAACATCCTGAGAATTTCCATTAGTCTTGTATACAAATTCTTTAAGCCATTGAATAGTAAAGCCATTTCTCATATGCAGTTCTTCTTAGTTGAAAATAATCTGCATAGCCATCACTCAGGCAGAGAAGGGATGAGTAGGAGGATGGACATGTATGACAGAGACAAGGTAGAGAAATATGGACATTTTCAGTGAGGCAAAATTATTCTAGACACAACAGCATCGGAGCTGCCTTTCTTCTTCCCACTCTGATTACCTGTGTTAACCCCTCCCGTGAAGATCCATGCTCCGGTTGTCATGGCTGCTTTGATGAGCCCTTTCCCGAAGACTTGCTTGAGTTTGGGCTGGAGTTCAAAGTTCTGCAGCCCTCCATGCACAGAGATGAGAAGTTTGGGGAGCTCCAGTTGCCATTCCTTGGTCATCAGGTGTAGCAAGAGATCAGGTTTCGTATCAAAAGATACTCGGACATACTAGAATAAAGATGGACAATTAGGGAGATGGGCAGGACTGCTTGGGGCTGTTTGTCTTTGTGACAGTTATATGTGCCTGACTTGAAAAAAATGTCTTATGTGAAATGTCTTATCTTTACCAAAAGAGACCTTAGGAGACAAAGGGATTCACACATTTAAAGGTTTTGTTGAAAATGAGTTATTTCCAATTTGAAAATTACTTGAGTTTTACAAAATGCAGCTTAAATATTATTTTTCCTGGTGAGCTCTTTACTTAAAACAAATTATGTTGACATTTTACCATTGTTTATATTCGTACAAATACTTCAAACATTACTAATATTTTCAATATGATCAATCCCTTTAAATAAACTAGATGTCGATATAACTATGACTTTGTGTTCTTGTGATCCTGTTGTGATTTTGATATTCTAGAAGACTCTAAAGTTCTACATAATACAATGAAAAAATTATCAGGCAATATCAGGTTATACTTAACTGTAAATGTATCTCAAATAGCCTATTATCTACCTAAGTAAAATCCATGTATCTATCATCTCTCTTTATTTGTCTATTTAATTTTTATGAGACAGTATGTAGCTATAACTGGCCTAGAGCATGCTATTTAGATCAGGCTGACTTCAAACTCAGTGATCCTCCTGGTTTCATCTTCTAAGTGCTGAGATAAGAGATACCACACCCATCCCAAATGTTTTATCTTTAAAAGAGCAGTGACAGAAGACATGCAGGTATTCCTATAGTTGAAAATTTGTAGCAGAAAATTCTAAGTATATATAACAAATGCCATAAGTACAATGATAATATATAGGACCCACAGGTTTTAGTTCAACTACATAGTTGATATATAAGACAATATAAGAAAATCTTTGGAAATATACTGACTTGACATGAAATGCAGAGATACTCAGTGTCTAACAAAAGTCTGCTTGGGGGCACAAAGCAAAGCTGGACATGAAAGGCTCTCCCAAGCCCTTCAACATCTGACCTGAAGACTTTCTGAAGTCTGGGGTAGTCCTTGCAGAGCCCCATAGAAAGCTGGTACACATCAAAGTGCTCAACTCTGAAACATTACTAGAGAAAACTAAGGAACTATGTAAGAGAAGGCTGTAGGAAACTTGCTTACCTCAGCCATGGAAGGCTGAGGGAGGTTCTGGGTAGACTGAAAAAGAATTCCCATTTGATTATTACCTAAGCATGAGCAGGTCCCTACACAGATTTGCCATCTGTACTCTTAGTGTGGTTTGAGACCTAGGAAATGGTATGTTAATGTCAATTGTTTTTGGCAGAGTGGTAGCTCCAGGTAAGCAGCAGAAGCAAACACAGGCCCTTTGTGGAGGATATGTAATAAATCCAGGTTGGAAATAGTTGCATGCCAACAGATAGCTGAGCTAAACCCTTTGAGACAGTGAGATGGTCATAGAATATGAAACAGACACATTTGCCATCTTATATATGGATATCAAAACAAGGAAGAAGAAGCTATAACAACCACGGGCATTTGAAAACCTAGAACAACTTGCAGAAATTAAAGTGTAATACTGTAAGTGAAACTAGCATGCAAAAACCATATTGACAATGGTTCTTAAAAATTAGCCACATGTAGCCTAGAAAGATGAAGGTTTGGAAAAATACACAGAAAAACAGAAACAACTAAAGATGCTCAGGCGAAATTCTAGATAAACATGAAAGAGCACTGCTTGAGGAGGCATTGGCAGACTATTTCTCAGAAATACCAAAGGATACCAATTCTCAGGTCCAGGAGCTCAATGGATCCTGGAAGGATAAATGATAGGAAACCTCAGTCATGAGATACACAGAAAGTATCACCTATGAAGATTGTAGACTAGACGCCCACTCCTCAACTGCAGCAATGGAAGCTAAAGCCAAGAGAAATGGCCTGTCGGTCTAGAGCTCCATATTTTCAGGGGAAAAACCGACGTATTTTCTTTTCAAAACTGGGAGAATACATAGCCATTTTATGAATGCCAACATTGAGTTTCCCTGTGGACAATTTTCACTGAAGTAGAGTTGAAGCCTATATGATCCAAAATTATGATCTCAAACACAAGGTGGGATGTAATAGTAACTACATGGTAAATATAAAAGCATGTGGGTTGCATAATATAAAGCAGTTATCATGCTTAATTTATAGTGTAAAGGGATAGAAATAAGGCATCAGGCAAAGATTAGTAATCAAAATAATAACAATAAGTACATATTACATGGGGGATGTATCTCAGTTGTAGAATGTGTGCCTGAAGCTCTTGGTTTGATACTTAGAACCACCTAAACAGAATGTGATGGTACATGCCTGTAATCCCAAAATTTGAGGGGTTCAGGCAGGTGGTGCAGAAGTTTGGAGCCATTGTGAACTACATGAGATGCTGTCTCAAAAAAAAATCAAAATAACAAGAACAAAAATAAATGCTGGGTCCTTGAGATGGATCAGGGTATAAAGCACTTTCTTCACACCAAGCCTGAGGACCTGAGCTCAGTCCTTGGGATTGCATGTAGAAGGAAAGTACCAACTCCCACAAGTTTTCTCTGGCCTCTGTGTGGCCACTATGGCTCACACGCATGTGCACATGTGCATACATATATACCCACAGAAAATTAGCATAAAATTAATTAAAAATTTAAAAAAGTGTTGCATGGTAAAGAAAATGATTAAGTTTGTGGCACATTACTTATAATCTTCACTTGTATGGTGGAGACAGGAGTTCAAAGGGCTAGCCTTGGATACATAGTGAATTTGAGGCTAACCTGGATTTTATGAAATCCTGTCTTAAAAAACCAAATTATTAATAACCTTTGGGCCAATTACATTCAAGTCTATTTGTGTGTGTGTGTGTGTGTGTGTACATATTCATTTGTGTATGCACAAGTGCATGCAAGTGTGGACCATAAGTTAATTTTGAGTATCTTCCTCAACCACTACCTTTTTATTTTTATACATTCATTAAATTATTTTGTGTGTGTGTGCATGTGTGTGTGCACATGAACACATGTGTCACAGTAGAAGTGTGGAAATTAGAGGACAGCTTGGGGAGTAGTTTCTCTCCTCCCACCAGGGATTCAATTCAGGTCATCAGACTTGCTGGCAAAGCACCTTTACCTACTGAACCATTTTACCAAGCTCTTTCATACATCCCTTTCAACTTGAAGCCCACTGGTTTGGCTGGCCAATGTAGTCCAAGACATCCCCTTTTCTCTACCCTCCCAGAGCTGGGATTACTGGTGTATGCTATTCAAGGCTTGTTATGTGGGTGCTAGTATTTGAACTTGGGTTTCCATATTTGTGTGGTAAGAACTTTACCAATTGAGACAACTCCCTAAGCCCTACAATTCAATTATTTTTGAGGTTAGTACCAAGGCCCACATGTATATCAACTGATTCACATACTATTTTGTAAACAACTCTTAAATAGAACTCCAAAATGATGACTAAGGCAAAACACAGAAAATACATAAGCCAGTAAAATAGCCAGCAGTCAAGTATTATCTGTGGCAATATGACTTGTATATTCTTTGCTTTTAAAAAAAATAGGCCTGGTAGTGCAACACCACCATACACATGAACAAAATGTGCTGCTTTTTGACTTTTATACTTCACTCATGCCTCTAAGGGGCAGGACTCTTTGAGCTCCATTGTACACATATGAGACCAGCATCATACATATGGTTCACTGTTGATGGAAAGGTCACTCTGTGTGGCCTGGATTTTGCATTACAGGTACATGTGTGCTGAGAGTTTTACATGTTCCATCTCATATTCTTCAATATTTCCAGTGAGATAGAAAGGCTCCATACTGTTTCCAAACTCATACTACTAGTGGGTCATGACAGGCTCTGTATCCTAGCTTTGACTCTACAGCTTTTTCAACCTTAGAGATATAACTTCCTCTTACTCATTCTACTTTACATAAACCAAATAGTCTTCAAGTTCTAAGGAGGCATTTCTCAAAATGGTGCTTTCACCCAGGCCTGTTCTTGGTTCTTTCCGCTGCTGTGTTAGCTGGCAGTCTATTCCCTTAAAGGGTGGCAGCTTGGGTTCTGGTACAGCCTCCTTGTGACTTTTCTGCCCTATGAAACATGAACAGGTCAATGGGCTGACTTAGTCCTTTGATAATATTCTTTATTAACTTAAATCATTACATCTTTTGTAAACTATCAGGGCAAATAAGTTTCCCCTTAATTTGGCCTTACCCTCGCTATTGGCAGCTTTTCCCACTTCTCTGTGCATTCGGCTAATGCTGATCCCCAAGTCCTAGGGTAATGCACTCTGCCCTGTCACTCATGGAAATGACACTCATCTTTCAAAAGTTCGCTTCAGTCCCACTGACTGCCTGAGACTGCAAGCCCATGTTGATGCAATGGGACTCTTGCTGAAGCCCAGTGTGATATTTCTTTCTGGGTGATTCTTCTATGTACCACTTTCTCTCCTGTGCTACACGCTTTTGAGTTCAGGGCCGAGTTGAGCTGCCCATGGTTTTTGTTAAGCTTTGTCAGTATTGCTATGAAGTATCCACAGTATTATGAGAGATGGTTATGTAATCATGGGATTCTGGAGATCATCTACTTCAGCTATTCCATTTATAGACCCAGGGAAGATACACAGGGAAGGACTCATAGGGATATCACATCTAGCTATCCAACAGTCATTTACTTCATTATTATAGCCATATTGTTAAAGCTATGATGAACCCTGAGGGCTGAAGATAGGCTGGGCTTCTTAACCTTTAAAATGTAAACATTATAGGATAGGTAAGCCAGTAAAAAATGGAGTTTCTGATTCAATAGGTCTCGGCTGGAGTTTGGATGTCTTCACTTCTAACAGCTCCCTGTGGTCCACATGTGTGTAACTCCTGTCCATATAAAAAGAGGCCTAAATAGTGTGTAGATGGTCTGAGTATTTTCTTAAATTTATCTTCAGTGTAGCAGTTTGGAGAGATGGAGCCTTTAAGAGACAGTTAGGTCATGAGGACAGTGTCTTCCTGAAC